GCACCCGTGCACGTGCCTCCAACAATTGTACCGGTCTTGACCGCTGTACCATAGGGGGTTAAAAGCTTGGTCGGCGCCTCTTTTTTCTTAGCTTGCAACCTCCAGGGATTAATTTCTTCTGCAACCTCACGTTCTAGACCTAGGGACGGAATCTGAATAACATGATCGCTTCCCATTTTTTTCTTCATTCATAATAGCAAGCACCCGCAGCTGCACTCCATTCTCATCCTGGATCTCAATTTCCTTCTGCAGCGCACACAGTACACAATGCTGAAAGTCTACATAGGGGTCCGTTTCCCGCGTAAAGTCATTTGAAAAGTTGCATCCAGTCCCCATCACCACCAACATGAACCTTTCCATCCTTGCCATCATGAATATTTGCATGGCCATCTCCCAAGGTAGGTACCAAAGTACCATATCTTTTAATCTTAAGCTTCAGTTATCTCTAGGCTATGCAACACTCTCCATTCTACACATGGACGAATCGAATAACAACATTGACGGCGAACCACGAGTCCAAGACAAAGAGCAACGGCAACACAATTAGATACTATTCAAAAACAACAGCCCTAGAAGTGCAGTGGTGGTGGACTTCGCCAATGCCCATCCACCGTACTCCTTATCCCATATGTTTCCATGCGCTTCTCTTTCAGAGACGACCCATGTGGGACGTTGACCGGCACGGCCGCGGCTGCTCGGTGGAAGAACGTGCTTCAGATGGGGAACAGTGGTATTGTTTAATCTTACCTAGGCACCCGTCGCAAGTACAGCGGTGGCGAGTAACTACTGTACTTACCTTTCGCAGAGTTCACATGGTTGACAAGCATCTAGGATACTTACCTACATCTCGTCTTGTTCTCGGCCAGTGCTCAAAATGTGGTCGAGTCCGGCGGATGTTACAGTCATTCGCAGCAAGAACAATCCAGACTCTCGCCAGTCCTCAGGCTAATGACGCTTGTCCGGGCTCATGGGGTGATTAACATGAGAAGCGGAAAATGGAACCGAAATCTTCATTCCAAGGGTCGCAAACTCCGCGAGTGTTCCCCGAGTCATACCTCACCGAGTGGTGCTGAACACACCTTCCTCATACAGCCCAGGCCGCTTTCTCTCCCATACGAGATGTTTGGTCAATCTGTCTCTACCTAGCCAAGCTGAAGAGCATTGGTGGATCTAGTGATTAGTAAAGACACACTCAGAAACCTAGAGGTAGTTTTGGTACATGTCGAGTTGCTCAAGTATAATCCATGCCTACCTCTAGGTGCTGTTACCTGAGAAGTTCAAGCTTTGTTTATGCCAGTTCTTTTATCTTGTTGTTACAGATTGGGCCACACTCAGGAGATGGCCGTCTTGCAGCTTCTCGCGCTTTTTGCGCAGATTTTTTGTATATTCTCTCCCCAAGTGGCAGTGGCTCAGTACCTCCAAGACTACACTCCGGATACCACCAAGCCTGGACATTATTTTTAGTCAGTTAACCCCTTCACCTCTATTTTTTTCAGACTTGTCCAGATTGCGAACTTCAACGAAGCAAGGCTCCTCGGATTCTCATGCTCTGGCGGCTGATTTATGTGTTGGATGTTTGCCATTGCTAACCTCATGGTTACTTGCACAGCCGGCCGATTTTAAGGGTACCATTTTTCGATGTTGTTAACACTCAACCCTACACGGTGGTCCTGATCTACAACTGTCACTACATGGTGGAGATATGCAAGAATGCCGAAAACTTTGCGGCCACACCACGAGGGCAAAACCTACATCCCGTCAGCGGTCTTCCAAATGATGTGTACGGCTTCGATTTTGATACAGGTCAATGGGAGAAGGGGCCTCAACAGCCGTCATCTCACCAGGATGCTCGCCGCGACCAGTCATGTCCCAGGTCTTGGAAAGATACTCATTCCTGTCCGGAAACTGATCAAAAGAAGCCTTGGCGAAATGATGGCGAGTGGTTCACAACTGCAAAAGAGCCAAACACAGTTAAGAACGAACTCGCAAACAAGAAAGATGCAAACGGAAATGTGATCTCTTACAGCAAAATTAAATATAGTTGTGATGAGTTTCCACCGGCTACATGGTATGTACAACTTCCTCCTGCTCTTCAAGACCAGTGATTCTGACACTTTCCTATAGGGTTGAGGGTGGCAGTGGCGCCTCGTACAACAACCCTGCCGAAACCCGGTGTGCCGCGATTTCATGTAATGGGAACCAAGGTGTGAAGCAAATCATTAAAGCGGAACAAGATTGTAAGACCTATTTCTACCTTTTCGCTTATTCACCTCAAAACTTTCCTACCACATACCTCTAGAATACTTCAACCTGTTGCTGACATCCCCGATTGGTAGGGCAGGCAACGGCTCACGGACTACTTCGAAATGAGTTCAAACGTTTAGCCACAGCCTTGCAGCTTGCTGCCTATGAGAACAACGTGAAGAGAGCAATCTTCCTGTTTAAATTCCGACCCGAAAATGGAGGAGCTGATGGAATAGCTGCCCGCATCTTCACTTACAAGGATTATGGCACGCCTACTCAGACTCAAACCTATACCAGGTTGGTGAATCAGGCGAAACGCTCACTAGAAGCCAACCACACCTCTCTTTTTCGCCGATCCTTCACGCCTGCCGAGCGTGACGAGCACCTCCAGGCGGGCATGGCGTACGAATATGTGGTGCGGGCCAATCTGAGTCATGTAGAGGTAAGTTGACCGGCGACACGATCCATGTCCACTTGATTCAGCCGTCAACACGAGTCAACTGACTGTTAATACCTCTAGGTTGCCGAATCTGATCTGTTAGGTCAAACGATGCCTGGCATGTCGAGTGTGAAAAGCTTCACAAGCTGGGGCCAAGAGCCTGCAGTGACCAGAGAACAAGCAACACGGGATCAAAACGTGACGCTTCCCAGGACGCTACCACAAAAAATCGCTCCTCGGCGTCGGAATGTTCCTGAGCATCACGTTACACCACTGCTCAAACGATCGACAGCCAAAGAGCTTCAGGTTGCGCGAAATATTGTGAAAAAGGCGCTTGCCGACTCGGCGAGACTGAACAAGGCACGTGTGGCTCATCCGCTCCGCAACAACTATGGCTTGAAGCCCGGAACTGTTGTGGGTGGAGGTCACGGTCCAGGTGAGCAAAGGATTGCATCCATCAAACAGGATGTAGAGGTACCGCCGCTTTTGGATATCACGGATGAGATTGCGGCAGCCGCAGCCCTTGTGGCTGAGGCCGATTCGGTGGGTGGATGGAAGAATGTCACGAAGCGTGCGGCTACAGCAAGCACCGGGACATATTGGATGCAAGGGTATGTCTTTCTTTCTGATGGAACCGTAGTACCATCAACTCCATTCAAGGATGCAGAAAACGGATTTACTAACATCCGTCTCAACCTCGCAGTCTCGATCGCAAAGGCACAGTACCTTGGGGAGATGAACCCACTTACGTGAGTTGTCCATGCACTCCAGATTGACCGTCCGGATCTCCAACGTAGTTCATTCCCTAACCAAGAAGTGCAGGCTATCTTCAGAAATGTGCTCAATTATGGAGCTGTGGGAGACGGTATTACGGTAGGTTCGACGCGCTGAAAGGGCAGTCCATCGCGTCCCACATACCTCTACACACATCCGCCACCCCTCACCTCGCCTTGTTGTGTTCCTTTACTGTCCGCTGGTTCGTTTGCATGTAATAATACCTACTGACTCATAACTCCCGTAACTAGGATGACACAAAAGCCATTAACAGGGCTATGGGAACAAACAGCACCCGATGTGGCAAAGGATGCAATGGGTCGACCACCAAGAACGCCATCGTATATTTCCCCCCTGGCACCTACCTTGTATCCTCAACCATACCCCTGCCCTTTGGAACACAGGTTATCGGTGATGCTAACAACAGGCCAACCATTGTCGCTGCTCCGAGCTTTGTTGGTCTGGGTGTCTTGTCCACGGATGAGTATACTGGGGAAGAAGGGAAAGGCATTGATGGCGGTGACCCTCAGTATGTTGACATCCCTTTTTCTTTCTTACCTCCAGGTTGCACATGCAGAAGAGCCTACTTTATGCTTCCTTCCCTCTCACTCTTCATAACCACCCCTATTCCGTGTTTCCAATTCGAGCACATGCACATGAGTGACTGACTCTAGCTGCACCATTCAGATACTATGTCAACACCGCCAATTTCTACCGTCAAATTCGAAACATAGTGATAGACATCCAAAAGGTCACTTCAGGAACCTTGGTTACCTGTCTCCACTACCAAGTCGCGCAAGCCACAAGTCTTCAGAACGTCGAGTTGAGAGCAGCACCTGGCTCGTCCCAGATAGGGCTTTACGCGGAAAATGGCAGCGGTGGAGGCATTTCCGATGTCACTTTTACCGGAGGTGGAATAGGTCTCAAAGGCGGCGAGCAGCAGTTCACGGCGCAACGCCTCAAGTTCAATGGATGCACAGTGGGAATCCAAGTCATCTGGGACTGGGGATGGGTATGGAAGTCCATTACCATGAATAATGTGAAGACGGGATTCAAGCTCGTCGGAGATGGTGGCGTCGGCAATAGTGAGTGTCCCCTTCTTATCCCCTGGCCTCATCATGCTAATTCCCGGCATTTTGCTTGTAGTCGGCTCTGTCTCGATCATGGACTCGTCATTTACCAATGTCGAGACTGTTGTCATCGTCAATCCCATAACAGCAATTCCGGGAAAGGGAAGCACTGGGATCGCACTTGAAAACATTGCTCTCTCAGGTGTCTCTGTTGCTGTTGCTGACACGACTGGAGCCACGCTCCTTGCCCCTTCGCCTGTGATTGACCAATGGGTCGTTGGACCTGTCTATGAAGGATCGACGACTGCTCGTTCTTTCTCCATGGGCGGGAAAGTTGGAAACTATCGAAGGCACTCGACACTTTTGGATCCCCAAGGCAACTACTTTGAACGCCCCAAGCCTCAGTACGAGGACCAAGCAACTTCCATGTTCATGCATACAAAGGACCTCGGGTGTAAAGGTGATGGCTCTACCGACGACACATTGGCATTCCAGGCGGCGCTCTACGCAAGTTTGGGCAAGATCCTTTTCGTCGACGCCGGATCATACATTCTCACCTCGACTATCACTATCCCTCCTGGAGCCAAGATCGTGGGTGAAGCATGGTCGCAGTTAGTTGCGTCGGGCTCATATTTCTCCGATGCCAGGTACGTTAAAGCTTCGACCCTCTCTCATCTTTCGTCACTGATCCATATCTGTCGCAACTCTAGCAATCCCAAGGTCTTGATCAAGGTTGGAAATGCTGGAGACATTGGCAACGTGGAAATGCAAGACCTCTTATTTACGACACGGGGTGCAACAGCCGGTCTTATTGTCATCCAATGGAACATCCAAGCTGCTACACAGGGTTCCGCCGGGCTCTGGGACTGCCACGTCCGCATCGGAGGTGCGACCGGGACGAAGTTGACACCCGCAGAGTGTCCTCCCATCACTAGCGGCGTAAATGCAGGCTGCTCGGCCGCTAGTCTGATGATGCACCTTACGTCCTCGGCGTCAGGTTACTTCGAAAACATGTGGCTTTGGGTAGCTGACCACATGATTGAGTAAGTTGCACTCCAATGTTCCCCAGGCAGGAATAAGTGTACAGGTCTGGTACCACCTCTTGTTACCGATGGACTAACAATTGCCTGTCTGATTCTCCTAGTGACCCGGATCTTGTCAGCACAAACAATAGCATGGTGCAAACATCCATCTATGTTGCCCGTGGCTTTTTGATTGAGAGTACAAAGCCCACCTGGTATGGAAGCTTTCCCATCTTCTTGTCTCATCACATCCAGGAAAACTGACTTCTTACTGGACTGTAGGCTTTATAGTACTGCGTCAGAGCACGCAGTGTTCTATCAGTATAATTTCCATTCGGCAGCGAACATATTCGCTGGTATGGTGCAGACCGAATCACCGTACTTCCAACCGACTCCTCCACCACCATCACCTTTCGCTGCTGTTGTTGGCCTTTTGCCAGGGGACCCGGATTATACATGTGCGGCCGGAAATGAGTTAAATGGTTGTGATCAATCTTGGTCCGTGGTCATGACAGGTTCGGAAAACATTTTTGTTGCTGGTGCAGGCATCTACACCGTAAGTGTCGTGGTTACCTATAACCCAGGGACAGTGGCAAACCATCTTCTCTTTTGCACAATTGCTCCTTGCTTCTACATTTTTCACTAACGACCGCTGAAAACAACAGTGGTTCTCGACCTATGCGCAGACCTGCATCGATCTGCAGCTATGTCAAAAAGCACTTGTGCTTCTTAAAGACAATTTGGCCAACGTTCGCTTCCAGAATCTTGTCACCATCGGCGCAAAGTACATGGCGGTCATGGACGGCAAAGGCATTCCAGCCATTGACAACCTCAACGTTGACACGCACCCCAGTTGGTCCCAAGTTAGCATTCTCGACGTTGGCAGTAACGGCACCACCAGATTTGATGAAGCTCTTTGGATCGACCCCGCGATCTGGGACATGGATGAGCCAAAATTCACTTGCTCTCCTCCGTGCAATGTCAAGTTGCCACCATGGAAAGGTGCAACCAGCACTGTCCACTATCCGCTGATTACCGTCAGCCAAGGAACCTGGACGAGCACCATCACCCAGGCGCCCTTGACCATTACGGAATGGGTGCTTGAGCCGGTAACAATAACTCGGGATGCCGGTGCCGTCAACAACAACAACAACAACAAGCGTGATGCTGGCGTGGAGATATGGCCCGTTCCGGCAACAACACCTTTCTGGCCTGCTGTTCTTTACAGGGGTGACGACGGGGAGATATCCACAACATCTGCCACTGGTACCTTTCCCAAGCCTGCGGCAACGCCACTTTCCGGAAGCTGGCCCAAAAAAGCTGTCCGAGCAGTTTGGGGTTGGCCCGAATACCCAACGGTGGATGAATGTGATTTCCTAGACTTCAACTGTGTCCCCAAGCCATGGTTCGGGGATACTGTAGGAGATCCAGGCGGCGATGACTTCTACAACGAGAATGCCGCGGAACTGCGAACCCTCTGTCCCGAACAAAAGTCCACATCTTCCACTCCTCCCAAGCCAACAACCACCAAGATCAGTCCGACGGTAGCCGTGCCTATTCCCGCCCCTGTCTACCAGACAGGCGACCCGCGGTTGAACTCGAAAAAATGCCTCAAGGGTGAACAGACTGAGGGGGCTCGGATGCGCAACGCCACGTCCAGATTCTGCGACGACATTGCCCGCATGGACCTTATAACGGGATTCAACTTCGAGAAAGAGTATCCTTTTGAGTATAACGGTGGCATTGGCTACGTTGCTATCGCCGTGTCGCTGAGGATAAAAGACAAGTGCAAGTTCAACTACTCCAAAAGCTTATGCCAAAGGTACTTGGCAGTGCCAACGGATAGTTGTGACTGTAATGGAGTCAATGGGAAGCAAGGAGGTTTAGTGGAGAATAATTGTTATAAGTGGAGGGTTGACCCTAACCGTCGGTTCTGTGGGCTAAATGACAAGAATGTTGTATGCCAAGGGTAAAACTAAATGTATTAGCACATCCCTCCAAATCTACATAGCAACAGACCTTGTACTCCATAGACATTTAACATCAGCCTTTCGTCGTCTGGTATAATAAAACGCCATTTTCTCACGTTATTCATCCCGGGCAAGTTGGACAAGTGTTGCGTGTTGAAGTGGAAGGATGGAATGAAGACGAAAAATGGGGTCGTCGTCACAAATAACAGTGCCAAAAGTAGTTGTGCTGGCTGAGTGAGTGGTTTGAGGCCTAGGTGTTGAAGGACGACGAATCGCCGAGGAAGTTGCGCTCAATAATTGTAGAAAGCGCAGTGTTCCCAAGCAGGCAAATCCACCGAGGCGGTAACTTGGTAGAGGTATCGATCGCTCATTCGCGTGGAATACTAGAAGATACATGAATCCATTTCGGTTGCGAACCAACAGAACCAACAGACTGGACACCCATGCGGTTTGCAACCTCAAGTAGGCAGGAGCTTGGCGCTAGCACATCAAAGCTTGTTCTGATGTCGGTGGCCTGTCGGAAGTCGGAGCCCGGGGCCGGAACTGACTTAACCCACGGCATAACAGGCATCATAGCTTCTCGACGACAAATCCCCAGCGGACTCTCACAATTCCCATGTCCATACCCGGCAACTTCTTGTTGAGGGTTTGGAGACATGTGATGTTGGCATGTTCCAGTCGAAGGCCACCATGTAACACATCTTGGCGGTCGACGATAGGAGGAAGCAGAGAAAAAAGCATGGGGATGGAAACACAAAAGAAGAAAAGTGGTTCGTCCCAATCATACCAAATCATCAACACATCCATATTCATAATCATAACATATGTACCTTATCAACCAGTACCGCAGTGCATCCATCTTCCTCCTGCAACAAAAAATCTTGGCGCCAAGTGTTAGTACTAACGCTTGGTTGCCCGCAAGATACCTAACACCACCAAAATCGCCGTTTCTACGGTCGATATCTCAACAACCATAACGACAAAATGTCTGCGCCTTCGCCCTCCGGGGCCCCCAAACCACCGCCGCCGGTCATAATACCGGTTGCTCCTTTGCCGGACATCTTTTGCGTCCCGGCCCCGCCCCCACGACGCGCAGTCGGCCAAAAGAGCCCGGACTGCGGACGAGGAAGCCGTCATGCCACACCACCACCACGGACATCACCACTGGACCCATCTCCGTCCCACTCGCCGAGACCCCTCATCCTCCGAAGCCTCTCGCAAAAAAGCGGAAGTCTACCGCTCCTTTGCCACTCTCCTCGACGCTGAGCTCGCCCGCTTCTCGGTCATCTCACCTGCCCACGCCCGC